AATTTAAATTTTTTTTAGGGATATGAAAGATATCATTAGGAAAGTAGAAAAACAAAAATGAATTTTTTTATGCAAACTTTAAATCCACCACCCATTTTACCCCACCTTAATTCCTGTCTTTTAATTTTATAATTTTTTAATAATTTAACTTAAATGCCTTAAATTTTGTATTGAAAGGGTGGAACTGAAATACAAAAGAATAAAAACAAAACACTAAATACATATTTAGCCCACAATTCATTATGTGTGTCTTTACTATGAAGGTGTTATAGGAAAAACATCATATGATTTAGTATTTCTTATAATAATCAAGAGCTTGGATTTGGTTATCATATTTGTTTCGATGATGTTGGTTTTAGGCCCTTACCGATGAGATCAACTTTAATTATATAATGGATAACCATTGAAGGAAATATGAAATAATAATAATATAGGTAATAAACATGAGTTAGATTATAAACAATATTTAAAAAATTAGGTTGGAAATGTAACAACCCGGCTTTTCAAGCCTAAAACAATGGTAAAAAAATTTTATATATGTATTTGACACACATCGTGTTGGTAGTTGGCAAACTCGTTCCCTCACATCATCAAGATACAATCCATATACCAACAACAATCAACATTTTCATTTAAAAATAAATCTTACATAAACACATATTATTATATTTGCATGATTAAATGTTCACATTAAAATATACATACATAAAACATGAGTTTGCCTTCCTATCTTACTAATAGTCATCAAGAATTTAAACACAAAGGATCTAATAATAGTTATACATTCGGTACATTGATTCATACAAAATACATCGTGATTTATAATGCAATTACATGATTCCTTGCAAAAGTAGGTTCCCGTGTATTGGGTTTTTTAGGCACCATATTGGTGTGACGTCCCTGCTATAGTACAAAACATTTATAAGAATGCAATTACTTAATAATAATAATGATAATAAACAGTTTGGCAATTCAATGAAGCATTAACATTATCCCATGTTTGAAGTATGACATTTGTAGTTCCTTTATGTACTTAGTATGAACAAATTGTAGTACATATAAATACACCAATTCTTGCAATAAGCTATAATCTTAATTCTGGTTGTCCTCTTAAGGCATCATTTGGCGAGGTTAATCGTTCACTCACCCCAACCATCCACTTCGGATGCCATCAGCCAAAACTAATCAACTCTTTGTCCTGGTCATCCATTCGGATGCCATTAGCTGAAGCTAACCAACCCATTATCCCGGTCATCCATTCGGATGCCATTAGCTGAAGCTAATCAACTATTTGTTCTGGTTATCCATTCGGATGCCATTAACTGAAGCTAATGACATTTACTCATTTGGCAGTCTGATATTTGTAGTAACATAATATGATAACATTTATGATAAAATATTTCATAATTCAACATTATGAAAAAGAAAGGTAAAAGTCACCTGTTTGCTCAAATTGCAGGTTGTCCTTATCCTAACGATAATCCAATTTCGGTCGTGCCACTTATGATATCATTGGTCACAAATCAATACATTTGTATTTTTTTCAATCACATTAATCACCATATTTATTTCAAGAGTTCATATGTTCACATTCAAATGTTTCACATTTTACACCATCATACAATGAATTTGTCACAAACATTCGAGTCATTTCTACCCGGGAGGCCTATTATAGAAGTCAGCAACAAAATTGATTCGTAGTCGGCCACACGATTTGACAGTGAAAACTGATTCGTTATGGCCATACAATTTGACAGCAAAAATTGGTTCGCTGTAAGATGGATAATTCAGTAGTTAAAACTGTTTCGCTGCAGGCACCTCAATTTCGACAGCAAATCATAATTTCGTTGCAAACGATACTACTTCGGTAGTGAATCACAATTTCATTACAGATAACAACACTTTAGTAGCGAATCATAAATTCGTTGCAACACACACTTTTAACAGCGAATGCTAATTCGCTGCAAACAACTTAGTTTTGGCAGTGAATTACAATTTCGCTGTAAATCACGTATTTCAGCAGCAAATGCTAATTCGCTGCAGACAACACAACTTTTATAATGAATGCCAATTCATTGAACACAATTCAATTTCAGCAACGAATGTTAATTCATTGTACATAACTCAATTTTGACATCAGATCACAAATTTGCTACAGGAAACTCACTTTCAATAGTGAATCATGAATTCACTATAGAACACACTTTCTTCAGTTAATGTTAATTCGCTGTAGAACACACTTTCTTCAACAAATATTAATTTGCTGCAGACAACTCAATTTCAACATTTAATAATAAATTCGTTGCTAAACACACATCTTCAACAATAAGGCAACTTAATTTCAGCAGCGAATCATAACTTCGCTGCATATCACACTTTTGACAGTGAATGCTAATTCACTGCAAACACCTCAATTTCAGCAGCAAATTACAAATTCGCTACAGAACACACATCTTCGACAATGAATGCTAAGTTGCTTCTGACAACTCAATTTCAGAACGAATCACAAATTTAAAGTAAAATACACATCTTCGGCAACGAATGTTAATTCGTTGCATACAACTCAATTTTAGTAGCGAATCACAAATTCATTTAAGCTAAATCAATTTCAATAGCGAATCACAAATTCGCAGCAGAACACATTTTTTACAACGAATGCTAATTCGTTGTAGGCAACTAATTTCAATAGCGAATCACAAATTCACTACAGAACACACATCTTCAACAACAAATGTAAATTCGCTGTAGACAACTCAATTTCTGCAAGCAAATCATAAATTTACTACATAATACACACATGCATTTTCAATTCCAGCACATAATATATCATCAAATCACAACAGAGTTATATGGTTTTAACATGAACACACCCATGCATTCTCAATTCCAACACATATCTGCCATCAAATCCCAGCAGAGTCATGTGATTTTAACATGAACACACCCATGCATTCTAAATTCCAACACATATCTGCCATCAAATCCCAGCAGAGTCATGTGATTTTAACATGAACACACCCATGCATTCTAAATTCCAACACATATCTGCCATCAAATCCCAGCAGAGTCATGTGATTTTAACATGAACACACACATGCATTCTCAATTCCAGCACATATATGTCATCAAATCTCAGTAGAGTCACATGATTTTAACATGAACACATACATACATCTTTTTACACAATGCATTCTGGCCAGCCCTATTGCTATGGTTTGCCTTCAACCAAGTTTTATTTTTTCCATTTTATTCATTATCCTTAGTTAGCTGTTTTAGTAAGTGGCCTAATTTCATCCTTGTTGCTTGTTCTCTTAGTTATTTTCAATTTCCTTTATAATTAACCTAGAGGGTTTAGGTTAATTTTTTTTAGGGTTCCTTCATCATTTTTAGTTATGGGTTTGAAGAACAAGGAGGTAAAAGGAGACTACATGACCCTAATTTTCAAATTAAGTAGGTTTGGATAGTTTGGTAGTATTTTCCCTCTCCTTTTCTCCCATTTTCCCCTTTCTTCTTCCTCTTTTGGTTCTTTTTTTTGGTTAGTTTCCTCCCACCCATTCTAGCCCCCTTTCCTTCCCCCTAAATAGCTACTCAGCCTTTATTCACGATCTCAACTCTCTCTCATATGTTCAAGAGGTATTCTTTACTGGTTTTGGTTTGAATTTTCATTGGGAAGGAGGAAAAAAGAGACATACAATTGAACATGCAGTTGCTATAGGTAGACTTCGGGAAGAGGAAGGGTAACCTTCTCTCTCTTATTGCATTTATACTTCACATAAATTGAGGTAGGGTGTTTGAGGTTGGTTTAAAGGTGTTCTTATCCGTATTTTGGTCTATTTAAAATTGGTTTTACCCCTCCCTCTTAGCTTCTTAAGACGATTTAATTGTTTTCCTTACCTTCAATTATGATGAGTTGTTGCCGATTCAGAAATCAACAATGACGATAAGGCTGTTTAGACCTTATTTTTTAGGTGTTTATAGAAAAACTATTCATATAAATAGTGAATTGTTTTTTATTAAGTTTTTTCATTTTTTATTTAATAATTATAATATAATGTTTTTTAAAATTTACGATGGAAAAACTATGAAGTAATGTTTTGAATTATGAACATGCGAAGCAATGTAATAATAAAAATATACTAAAAATGATGAAAATACAGCATATGAAAAAAAGAGATTTATAATAGATTATAATTGTTACACACAATGTTTTATTTTTCTTTATTTATTTTATTTGTTATTTGATTTTTTAATTCATAGTTTAATAATTTTATATTAAGTTGACTTAAGATTGAGATTGATGTTTTGTTTTGATTAACTAGATATAGAGTTTTTGCCATGTTAATAATAGATTTTAACATTGAGTTAATAATCAATTTGGCAAAACTAAACTAAATTCTATTTATTTAGATTAATTAAAACTTTAGAGATCCACTATTAAATTAAAATAAATATTTAAAATTTATTTTCTTTAAAAAATAACATTCTTATCTCATAACTCAATCTTTAATTTAAATTAACAAATCTACTATTATTTATTAACATATATAATTATTAATTTATCTTATTAAATTTACATATAAAATTTTCAATTTGTATAAAAGAAAGAAAGAAGATTTGTCATATACATACGTACATGATTTTTCTTAATTGCTTGTGCATTTTGAAAAGAAATATTATATTAAAACTAAATTAATCTTTCTTAATAATTTTTTTTTTTTACCAATGAAATCCAATCAGATTCTTCTTTCATCAAATGTGTCCAAAGGTGTATTGGAAGATAGGGAAGAAATTATTTTTTAAATATATTAAAATATATATTTTTTATTTTTTTAAAATATATTTTTATATTAATATATCAAAATAATTTTAAATTAAAAATATAATTGTACGCAGGACCAGACTAAAATTTCCTAAATATTTTTTCCATCGGATATCCGACATTTTCATCTTTTTTTTTTGTTGTTGTTTTGTTTGTTTCTACTTATTTACTTTCCAAACCAAACCAAATCATTACAAAACCAAACCCCCGTGCGTGCCTCCTCACTTTCTATCTCTGCACCGGAAAAAACACATGGTTAAACCCTTCTCACATCTCTTTAAATTGAAAACGCTAAACTTCTGCCCCTTTTCATGCACTTAAACCCTGATTTTAACGACGCCAAAATTTATTCTTTATTTTGTTGGTATGTCTTCACTCTTCACAGCTTAAACTTGAATTGATTGCTAGTTTTGAATTCTTGAAAGAACAATAAAACTAGGGTTATTTATGATTCTTTGTTGTTTAGGAGTTGTATCACTCTCTGATTAATTAGAATTCGAGTTGTGGGTTCATGTGATTGTAGTGAATCTTGTTTATATGTTTTTTAAGGTTATGAATGCC